GTGCGCCCTTCGTCTGCTCCCACCAATCATCTGCGTCACAAGCTGTATCCTCCGAAGGCTTGCTTCTTTTCAAGGCTCGATTTCTTACACAAAACGTTGTACACTGTTTCACAAGAATGCTGGGTTGTGAACAAAACTTTTTTGTTCACAACCCAGCATTCTTGTGAAACATTCGCAAGGCGAACTGCGGCCAAAAACAGCAGGTTAACAAACAAAAACAAGTTGTACAGTGTCTCTATATCGCAAATAACGCCTTCATTTGAAGAAAGGTGGAGGTCATTTTCTCATGGACGATTCCTTCGAAGACAGCAAACAACCACTTTCAGGTGGCCACATCCCCAAGAACGCGATCTGCGAGTGGTTTCGGAATGTGGCGAAGCATTCGACGGAAGTCTCGTCACATCTCCACAGAAAGTGAGAGTGATGGCGATCGAAGCGTTGAATTGGTGGAGACACAGAGACGGGATGATCCAAATATGGTAACGATTTTCCTGGGTCCCTTAAGACGTGTGGTTACTTGTCCTATGTTCTTTTTTTAGCCAAACCGCACCCCTGTTCGTCGCCTCACAGAAGCGTTCATACTCCCATTACACGAGACACTCGACACCAATCGGCAACGATGTAAGCGATTCTGTACTTGTCAAAGAAAAGTTATGAGAAGAAGGGGGTGCGGAGAAAGAGTGAAGGATGTGTTGGAGTGGGTACGGATTATTTTCAAGTGCTGTAGATAGAGGCTACAATTAGGCAGTTCGAATTTTGAGGACAAAAAAATTTGTGAATAAGCGAACAACCACTTGAATATTTCTAGTTCATGCTACGCTAGTCGGTCTTTTCGATCTCAGTACTAGGTTCAGTACTACGTTAGTCGATATTTTTTAACCCATGATTATCAATATTCCCGTCCACTAATGTACGAACTACAACCATCATGACCGTTGCTTACGTGTTGAAAGTGAAGAAAACCGCAAAAAATAGAATCTGCTCCCCTCTTCCAGATGAGGTTCTACCTAGATTACCTCCACCACGCAACTACCTC